GACTCTACCCAGCAGGGTACCAAAACATATGCTGAGACTCATATATAAACTCTGGGCAGAGTGCAGGGAATCATATGAAAGAAGGGGGAGATATAAAGACCTGGAGAGGACAGAAGCTCCGCAAGGAGAACAACAGAAGCAAAAATCTGGGCACAGTGGTCTTTTCTGAGACTGATACTCCAAAGAAGGATCATGCATGGAGATAACCTAGAACCCCTGAACAGATGTAGTACAGATAGGCTAGGGTCAGATGGAAGGGCAGGAAGACCTCTCCTATCATTGGACTTGGGGAGAGGCATAGAAGAAGATGAGGGAGGGAGGGTGTGATTGGGAGGGGATGCGGGAAAGGGCTACAGCTGAGATACAAAGAATAAACTGTAATTAATAAAATTAAAATTAAGAAAGAACAACATAAAGTATATATATTTAAAAGATAATATCACTTCAGGGTAATTAGTTTTTTCCCCCTTGTGGCTTTTAAACTATGCTGCCTCCTGATTGTCTTTACTAAATATTCAATACTCTTTTGCTTCCTCCATCCAAACATAAATAAAATAACAAAGTTTTAAGCTGTTTGATATGTTCACAATGAGGTGAACATATGATGATGATAAATGTGATGGCTTTTTAAGACTTCCCTTAGTAATAGAAGACATGATTAATACCTCTGCCCAGTACCCAAGTTTCTCCTCCAGCAACTGTTTTATGATTAAAAAGATGGAGGCCATCAGCTCATAGTGTTTCAGGTCACCCAAACAGAAAGTGTGGAGATACTCCAGTTCTTATTAAGTAAAACAGCCCTCTTATAGAAGGAAGTGGAACATTGCTGTGGGTCCTAAATGTCATCTTATCTAAACAAACTCTCCTTTCTGGGGTTACAGCAAAGTTGATATCTCAGGGTAGAAAATATTTTATGACCAGGGTAACAAGGGTGGTTATACTTAACGTTTGTGTCAACCTATGTTGAGGTAACTATATTAACCCTGTGATTTACTGATTCATTTTATTTTCACACTCTCTCCCTCTTTCTTTCCCTCCCTCCCCCATTTCCCTTGCTTCCTTCCTTCCTTTCTGTTTGTCTTTCTTTTCTTTCTTTCATTTTTTTTTTTTAGGTAGTCTCACCATAGAGCCTTAGCTGGCCTAGAGCACCCTATGGAGATTAGGAGAGCCTTAAACTCATATAGGTCTAAATAACCCTGTCTTCCAAGTGCTTGTATTATAGGCTTGTGACTGTGATCACAGTTTTTTTGGTTTAATTTTGTCTTTGGATGGTACAAAAGTTAACTAATTGACAATAGGAGATATCTTTGGAATTCCAATAAATATAAATAGCTCTAGCTGCAGCTCGGTGATCCCCACTTTTAAGCTTTGTTATTTTGAAATCCAGCCTGCCAGGCCCCTTACAATTTTGTTCCACTACTAGCCAACCTCTTTGTAAAGGTGGTTACTTTTCTATGTTAGGCCAAGGGGATTAAAATCGCTGAGGGACATCATCTTCCAGCGTTTTCCACAATGCAGTCTTCTTTCTAAAGAAAGCATTGTTGAGTCTGGAGAGATGTCTCAGCAGGTGAACACATGTACCACTCTTCCAAAGGACCTGTGTTTGACTTCCCCACCTGAATAGGGTGGTTCACAACATGTAACTCCAAACCCTAGCTTTCTAGAGAACCTGCACTCACATGCATTCACACACACACACACACACACACACACACACACACACACACACACACAATTTTTTTAAATCTCTTAAAAATAAAGCACTTTTGTCTTCACACCCTCTGTGTTGGACAACTTTTAACTGTCAGCTTAGTCCAACCAAGAATTTTCTTGGAAGAGAAGCTTAATTGAGGAATTTTCTAGCTCACATGGGCCTGTGACCATATATGTGGGATATTGTTCTGTGTGTTAATTGATGTGAGAAGACACAGCCAACTGTGAGTAGCATCATTCCCTAGGCAGGGGATCTAGAAACTGTATAAGGGAGGAGAAAACAGCAAGCAAGCAATCAGACCTGTATACATTTATTTCTCTCTGGTGATGGCTGTGGATATTATATGAATAGTTGCTGGTAGTTTCTACTGCTGTTATTTTTCTCCTATGGTAGACAGATTATAACTTGGAATTGTAAGATGAATAAACACACCCTGCTCAAGTTGCTTTTTTTAAGGATATTGTGTCACAACAGCAGAAACTAGAACACTATCGTCAAGGGCAATAAAAACAGAATCTCAGAAATACCTGACATTACCTTATTTTGGAGTACCAATCACAAAAAATATAGTGCTGAAATGGGCACCTTTGGACTAGTTCATTTTAAACAATTTGCATGGCCTGTGGAAATTACAGACATAGGCATTATTATCAGAAATATCCTTTTCATCAGCAACACCAACCAAGGTCCCATGGCACCTCTGCTCAGCTCTGAAGTAGTTCCGGAATTAAAAAACAAAATAAAACAATGTTTTCATAATTTTTCAGTGATTTGACCTTGCTGTTCTGTGAAAGTGAAAATGAAGAGACAAAAGGGCCAAAAACAAAAGTAAATGTGTCCATACTTTAACAAATAGACCTTGACCATTTGGAGTTACACCCAATGACTTGTGATGCTTAATGTATGTAATCAAAACAGAAATCCTAATGATCCCTAAAACCTGAAATGAATTTGCCAGTTTCAGGAAAGAAATAAGTAAATAAGTAGTAACTCTTATTACTTAACAAGATACTGCAATGTCTACTTCCGTTGTTTAAAAAGAGATGATTTATTTTATTCAACCCCAAATACCTAAAAAACTTATTTTGTTATGTACCCACAAAGAAATCACTAACGGACCATTTTACCTTCTTTTTTTTACAATCTTTAACTCTTTTCAAAAATTTTGAATTGCTTTGTATGTTTTAAATATGTGGAGAAAAGAGGGAACAAATCAGGAACCTGACACAGAGGACCTCTGGAAAGCTCTGCAGACTATCAATGTATATACTGAGACTTATGGGCAACCTTTGGGCAGTGGGCAGTGTGCAGGGAATCTTAGGAAAGAAGTGGGAAACAGTAAGATCTGGAGAGGACAGGAACTCCACAAGTAGAGCAACAGAACCAAAAAATCTGAGCACAGTTTTCCTGAGACTGATACTCCAACCAAGGACTATGCATGGAGATAACCTAAGACCCCTGCACAGATGTAGCAGTAAGTGCCTAAATACATCAGGGAACGGTGTCTCTGGACATAGCATGCCACTTCTTAATGGCCCAGATAAGACCCTACACAAATGGTTCAGAAGCTGAGACTCAGCAACTTTTCTAAACCATCCGGAAAATAACCTATTCCTGATCAAGGGCCCAATCCTCTCTCTGAGAATTTTCCTGTGGTTTCACTATCTCTGTCACTGCATATGTACTTTATTTTAAATTTTCTATCAGTTCTGGTCTGACAAAAACTCTAACACACCCTTCCCATGCCTTCAGCATTGTGTTTATGGCATGATAGAAAATATATCTGGCAGGGATGGCCAGAGAGTTGAAAGAGATAGGAGATTGAAATGGGCCATCTCAAAGAATTCAAGGGAGCTAAAATAATGAGTGAATATGGTGACAGGAATAAAAAGGATCAGAGATGATGGGAAAGGAGAGGCCTTAGAGTAGATATTGAAGGAGAAGTCAAGTTTCTCAAAGAGACAACTAAAGTTATTATCTTAGCAAACTCATGCTAGTAGGAAATGAAAAAGTCAGACTTGATAGAACAAACATAAGTTATAATGGTTTTGGAGTGCTGATTGGGAGATTCTTATGGGAGAATTAGGATGAAACAGAAATAAAAGAAAGACTTCAAAAGTTACCAGAAAAATGGTGCTGGAGAGATGGTCAACAATTAAGAGTACTGTTGTACTTTCAGAGGCTGTAGACTTTGAGACTAATTCAAAACTTGGGGGTTCAGTGGGTCAAGTTTCTGAGAGATTAGAGGAATGGTTCTCAACCTCCGTGATTCTGTGACACTTTAATACAGTTTCTCATGTTGTTGTGACTCCCAACCAAAAATTTATATTTATTTCTGCTTCATAACTCTAATATTGTTACTGCGGTGACTCTGAATGTAAATATCTGTTTTCTGATGGTCTTAGGTTGCGATCAAGAGTTTGAGAACCACTTTGATAGATGATTGCCTGGTCATGCTTTCTGCTTTCTTGTGGGATCTGGTCTTGACCTTAAGAACATTACAAAAGCGACTGGAGGGGTTTAAAGGGATTTCAGGATTACTGGGGCTGGAGGGTGGACCAGAGATTGGAGAGCTGCAAGGAGGTCTATCCACGATCTAATTCAAAGGCTGAGGTGCTTCTAGTCACCCCAAGACATGATAGGGATTTGAAACCAGATGCCAGCAGAAGAGATCATGTGAGTTTCTTAAAATATGTAGGCCAGCAACAGAAGAATAGAATGAAGAGTGAGCCATCTGGACTGAGATGCACCCAGGCTCCCTACTGGTCTAAGCAGCTGTTGATGTGGCTTTTCTCTGAGATATAAAGACAGTAGGGACAGCATGTGTATATGTGGAGAGGGACACAGAGATGGGAACAGGGGAGAAGAAGTAAGTTTTCATCTAGCTAAGGTCTCCCATCTTTCCAATCAAACCAGTGAGTTTTAAACTGTAGATAGTATGAAAGATGTTTCACATAGCTTCCCAATGCACAGAGTATGGAGAAGTTCCCAAATGGTAATGATTTTCTTTCAAATCAGAGAAGTGGTTATTTTCCCATTACATTAATATAAAAGAAAAATCCAGGACCGCCACTAGAGAGGCCCGCAACGCTGCCATTGCTGCAGTGACGAAGGCAAGGTCCATTGTGACGTGTCTTGGCCCTGGCCATTGTGACCTATTAGCGCTGGCACTGGTACTGGGAACTGAGAGCGTGCCTGCCAGACATCTCTCGCTCCTGGTCTAGTGAGGAGCGCGGACAAGTGGCTGCACTGGCCCAATTCTAGCTCGGCCCTCAGTTTCTCAGCCATGGCGACCTCCACCACTTCACATCGACCCATCAAGGGGATACTCAAAAACAAAAGTTCAGCATCTTCAGTGGAGGATTCCACCCAGCCAACAAGACCCGGAACGCAGGAGTTACAACGGAAGAAATCGCAGAAGTGGGACGAATCCAACATACTAGCAACCCAACACCCATACTACAAAGACTACGAACTGATGAACATGAATGAGCCCGGCAAGAACTTAGTCGCTGTGCTACACGATGGAGAAGACATGAGTAAAATTCAAGGAAAAGAAGCCATGACCCAGGAGACCTTAGCAAAGAAACTGGCAGCCTCTGAAATCCCCGGGACCAGTTACCTGGGTGAGGAGCAGCAAAGCAGTGGTAAGCATAGTTGCAAATACTTCCTGAACCAACAAGAAAGGCAGCAGCAATTTGAGTTGAAAAGGAAACTACATTACAACGAAGGATTGAACATCAAATTGGCCAGACAACTGATATCGGAGGAGCTACAATCTGAAGTAGAAGATGATGACAACCAACAACATCTACATTCAAATTGAAGAAAAGACTACTACAGAAGAAGCTCCCCGATAACTGAACATCACAAAACGCATGTAAGATCTGCGGTTGCTGCTGCCTTTGCTACAGTCTCTGCCGTTGCCTATGCTTCCACTGCTGCTTGTTCTCTAGAACCCATGGTCTTGGTATGATTGTACTTGTCCATTTAACTGTTTAATGGTGTTTAATGGTCATCGAGGCTTTAATGGTAATCTTAGGAGATATTAAATTGGCTTAGTATCTGTGTGTTGTGGCTGTGCTTTCTTTCTTGCACCAATAGTCATTGGCTGCTTCTTCTTCTTCTTTTTTTTTTTAATTGAAAATCATCTTGAACAACCTTTAGATTGAAACTTAGTTGTGAAAAGAATGCAGGAAAGAAAACGTGTGTACCCCATACTTAGTTGGTAATATGCTGGAGATGGTAATATATATTACAAAATAAGTGTCTTTTTTATAGCCACATTGGTTCTCATTTCTAGAATCTTGTTGTTTCATGACTGGTGATACTTGATGGTACAATGAAACATTTATAACAAGTGAGTACATATTTACCAAGGGGTGGTTGCCAGGAATAAGGGGAGAAAAATAAATGAGGCACAGCTTTTGCCAGGGTTCTTGCAAAAGAATAAGCAGGGAGGGTGCCTGCTTATTTTTCAAATGGTGTCTATTAAGGCTTTCCGGGGGGAGAGGTTGTTCCTAATTAAAAGGGGACCAACATTCTGGTTGGGGTCACATATCTATTTGAATGAAAAATGGTTTCCAGATGCCTAAAGAATGAGCACCAATTTTCAGAAGAAGAATGCTGTCTCCAAAGTTCCTGTTGACCTGAAGACAAAGACAAAGAGGACTGGAGAGATGGCCCAGTGGTTAAGAGTGCATACTCCTCTTGCAAGAGGGTCCAAGAAGAGTTTCTAGCACCAACATTGGGTGGCTCACAACCACCTGTAACTCAATTTCCAGGATATTAAATGCTCTCTTCTGTCCTCATGTATCCCCTGCTCCCCCCACATACACACACATAATTTAAAAAATAGAGGAATGCAGATATAATTTAGCCATTAAGAACACTTGCTGCCCTTAACAAGGACCCAAGTTCAGTTTTACACACCCATCTGTAACTCCAGTTCCAGAAAGGGGAGGAGGTCCTTCCCTATCAGTGGACTGGGGAAAGGATATGGGAGGAGATGAGGGAGGGATTGGAAGAGGAGGAGGTGGGGCTAAGTTGGGATACAAGGTGAATAAAAATTGTAATAAAATTATATTTAAAAAGTATTAGAAATGATCACCTAAGGAAGCTAATCAAGAAGGAAGACCCTAGTAATAAGCCCAGTCTTCATTCAGAAAGGCAAATGAGGTGGACATCAGAAGAGCGAGAAAACAGGGAACAGGACAGGAACTTATCACAGAAGGCCTCTGAAAGACTCTGCCCAGCAGGGTATCAAAGCAAATGCTGAGATTCAAAGCCCTGCTCTGGGCAGAATGCAGGGAATCTTAAGAAAGAATGGGGGGGATAGAAAGACCTGGAGGGAACAGGGGCTCCACAAGGAGAGCAACAGAACCAAAAAATCTGGGCACACGGGTATTTTCTGAGACTGATACTCCAAACAAGGACCATGCATGGAGATAACTTAGAACTCCTGCATAGAAGTAGACCATGGCAGCTCAGTGTCCAAGAGGGCTCACCAATAATAGGAATAGGGACCATCTCTGACATGAACTTATGGGCTGACTCTTTGATCATCTTCACCTGAAGGGGGAGCAGCCTTACTTGTCCACAGAGGAAGACAAAGAAGCCAGTCTTAATGAGACCTGATACACTAGGGTCAGATGGAAAGGGAGGAGGTCCTCCCCTATCATTGGACTGGGTGAAGGGCATAGGAAAAGAAGGGGGGGGGGGGGGGGAATTGGGAGGAGATGGGGGAGGGGGCTACAGCTGGGATACAAAGTAATTAAACTATAATTAATAAAAATATTAAAATTAAAATAGAAAAAAAGAAAAGAACCCTGTGCCCAGACTTTTTGGATCTGTTGCTCTCCTTGTGGAGCGCCTGTCTTCTCCAGGTCTTACTATCTCCCACTTGTTTCAGAAGATTCCCTGCACTCTGCCAAAAGTTTGGCTAGAGTCTCAGTGTCTGACTCAATACCCTGCAGGGTAGAGCCTTTCAGAGGTCCTCTGTGGTAGGCTCCTGTCCTGTTCCCTGTTTTTTCCCTCTTCCAATGTCCATCTTCTTTGCCTTTCTGAATAGGGATTGAGCATCTTAGCCAGAGTCCTCCTTCTTGATTAGTTCCCTTAGGTGTACAGATTTTAGTATGTTTACCCTATATTATATGTCTAATATCCACTTATGAATGAGTATATACCCTGTGTGTCTTTCTGCTTCTGGGATACCACACTCAGGATGATCTCTTCCAGTTCTCACCATTTACCTGCATATTTCATGTTGGGTCTTTTCTGAGACTGATACTCTAGCCAAGGACCACTCATAGAGATGGCCTGGAACCCTTGCACAGAGGTAGCCCATGGCAATTCAGTGTCCAAGTGGGTTCCATAGTAATGGGGGCAGGGACTGTCTCTGACAAGAACTGATTGGCCTTTTCTTTGATCACCTTCCCCTGAAGGGGGAGCAGCCTTACCAGGCCACAGAGGAAGGCAATGCAGTCACTCCTGATGAGACCTGATATACTAGAATCAGGAGGAATAGGAGGAGGACCTCCCTTATTGGTGGATTGGGGATGGGTCAAGGGTGGGGAAGAAGGATGGAGTGTGGGATTGGGAGGGGAGGATGGAGGAAAGTACGAGGGAATACAAAGTAAATAAACTGTAATTAATAAAAATAAAATAATTAAAATAAAAAATAAAAAAGAATTGAGGCAGGACTTTAACATCCTTCCTTGTGTGAAGCTTACGAATTATACCTAACAGACAAATGGAGGCACAGAAGCAGAAAATCATATGCTGAGATGAGTGAATAGTAAATATGTTTCTTATTTAAGGAAAAAATGTAGAGTAGGTATGTGGCAATGAAGTTTGTGGTTATAACATGACTTCAAATGGAAGGGGAGGAGGAATTCCTGTATCATTGGACTTGGAGAGGAGCATAGGAGGAGATGAGGGAAGGAAGGTGGGATTGGGAAGGAATGAGGGAGGGGTCTACAGCTGGGATAAAAGTGAATAAATTTTAAATAATATAAAAAATAAAAATTAAAAGAACTCAGTAGAAATCAAAAGTTACTGCAAAAGATTTACCTACATATAATAAACGCTACATTTAAATAAGTGGGTTACTTTATTTCTACAAATCTGTTCAATGTTTGAAGTCCTCTAATGAAATTTTAGTTGTTAGTCATTATTAATGAACTACTGTATAAAGAAAAAGTTATCTGTTTGCTTTTACATTGGCAGAAGTAGAAATAACAAAACAATGGAAAATTAAAATAGCATAAGATAAACACCAATCTAAGATGCATGTGATCTAGATTTTCATTTGAAGTCTTTGATTAATTTATTTAATATTAATTAACTCATTTAAATATCTCTCTTTCAGTTCCTTTGTTTTCAAAATGAGAACTATAAGTGTTAGTCTCTATTTGGTATTGAAGATAATATAGATGAGCTACTTCAAATCAATATAAGCAAATATCATGCCTTTTCATCAAAGGTGGCATCTTTCTTCTGTCTTGAAAGTGCTAAACATTGGTAGGATTGTGTCAAAACTTAGGTTACTTGTGACACTTTGATATGAAAATTTCAGGACACAACACCACCACAGACACATTTCCTGTGAATGTGACTTTAAAAAAATGCTGAGATATAGAAGAAGACAATGCAGCCACTCTTGATGAGACCCAATAGGCTAGGGTCAGATGGAAGGGGAGGATGACATTTCCTATCACTGGACTTGGGGAGGGGCATGGGAGGAGAAAAGGGAGGGAGGGCAGGATTGAGAGAGGATGTGGGAGGGGGCTATAGCTGGGATACAAAATGAATACACTGTGATTTATAAAAAATAAATTAATTTTAAAAAGAAATAAAAAAGGGAAAACAATTTGAGAACCAGTTTCTGCTCAAAAGGAGGATAGTACAACTTCACATGGCTGCAGTATAAATAATACAAAGTGATAGGTAGAAACAATTGCTAATTCACACATGTGGGGAATAGCAATCAGAGAGATTAGAATGCTGAATAGAATACCATATAGAGGTGTCGATAGGATGTGCATACTTGGAAATTCCGTTTGCATAAAGTGATTATTATTTCTACAACACAGTACCACATCAATGATCAGGAAAATCTGTGGACAAGAGGAGGACCTTACCTGTAAAATCTAAATTTGATGAAGAGTACTGCCACTTATTTCTTACAACATCTTTATACAATTAACATTACTATTTATAAAATCTGTAATTGGAAAATTCAGTTCACATATAGGATTCAACTTTCAGTGTCAACGTACAATCAAGGATAGGCAGGAAAAGCTGGTCGAGTTTCAGCAGCCCAAGCTACATGTGCAAGAGGCTTTTTGAAGGGCTTAAGAATATAAGTTGCAGAGTGGGGGGGGGGCCAAGATGGCGGCGCCGGGAGAACACTGTGTCTGAGAAGCGGGACAACAGTCTCCATGCAGCGACCAGGAGACTGAACTCTGGGCCCAAAAACTACAGCAATCGTGTTTCCCAGGTGAGGGGAGGCTCCCATAGCATAGGAATCCATCTGGTTCACTCTCGGCTGCCCAGCCAGAGCCTGGAAGAGAACCCGGCTAACGCGGGCTTTGGGTCTCTGGGCTGGTACCACAAGCCTGCATGTCCTGATACCTTTCCCAGGCTGATCGGTGGGCACAAGGGTGCCAGAGACTGAAAGTCCGAGTCGCAAGAAAACCCCACAGGGAAGGAAAGTTGCAAGACTGATCACGGGTCACCCAGTCTTTCCCTGGAAGGCCTCGCTGACCGCGGGTACCCGCCACCATCACAACTGAGCTCCCACCGCTTGGAAAGCTGCACGCCCAG